TTTCAGACGTAAAGGATTGCTGAGGCTGCAAATGCTTCGGACATACCTTCCCTGTGAATTTTCTTGGGCCTTCTTATTTTTCATCTCCTGCAGTTTCCTCTTCTCTTACTTCTTTTGCTGTGCATTCACTGGTGACAAGAACTTTTCAGCTCTACTAGAGTCCCACAGGCCACTATCGTATAGGAATGAGATCCATAACTGTGTAGCATGTGACTGGACTCAACACACATTAGCTATAAGGCAAGAATATGACCTCCATGTTTGGAATGCCTTTGCTGTTACTTAGTAGGAAAGGATTGACTTGTTGGATTTTCCCTTTATTCACTAGTTTGGGTTCTTTTATTCCTCATCATAGGTACTTAGGATGTGCTAATAATTAGAGTTTAAGTGAAAACTTTGGCACCAATATCCCAAGCTTGAAAATGCTCTGTAGGGTGTTATCTTGGATTCCCATGTTCATTGTGATTGGATTATATGGTACGGGGTCATAGTACGGGATCCACTTATTCATTGCCAAATACAAGGAAACAATCATACTATTGGCAGTGATGACTTTTTCCTGGCACTGATTATGAGAGGAACTTGTCATTTGGCTACTTGGATTTTTTTTAATTCAAAGAGGTTTGAACGACAATTTGGCAAGTAACACAGAAAAAAGCTTTAAATAGTTGTTTCTTTTACAATAGACATGAAATAAACTGATCAAGTTTTTTCTATAGGAGTTATATCAGTTAGGGCTCCACCAAAGAGGCAGGACCATTAGGATGGTTTTATACATACACACACACACTTGTGTGTATGGGTTAAAAACTAAACATATAAACACATATATACATACTTATAGCTGTGTACCTAAATATACACAGACACATATCCATGTGTGGATGGGTTACACCTTCCATACATACACATATATATGCAGATGTATGGTTATATACACGCATATACCCACACATATATGAAGAGATTCGTTGCAAGGAACTGGCTTTCCAGGTTATGGGTATAGGTAGGCATGTCCTCAGCATACAAGGCAGGCCCTCAGGAAGGTCAGGCTGGAACTCAAAAGTGCAGGTTGTGCTGCAGTCTGTAGATGCAATCTTTTCTTCCTCAGGGAAGCCACAGCTCTGCTCCGAAGGCCTTTCAGCAGGTTGAATCAGGCCCAGCCAGACTTCCTAGGGCAGCCTCCCACGTTATCAAGAGCAGATCCCTGGGTACATGACAGCCTTGCACATTATTGGTCAAAGAAAACCCATGTGTCCCAGACAGGAAGAAGTTTGAAAGTCATCAGGGAACATAAACTGTCAGAGCTGGGTCTCTGCCCCTAGAGTTCTTCCTCTGGAAGTGGCCATAACACCGGGAGGGCTGGCAAACTGTCCCAAAATGCCATCTCAAGAGTTTTGTGTCCATCTAACAGATGTCCCCAAGCTACTTCTGCTCACCATGCCCTCAGCAGTACAGAAAATTTGTCACCACCTCTAGACCAGAAGAAATGTATAGAGGTTCTGATTTTTTTAAAGACTTGGGTCCAAATAGCATAAGACAATCACTGTCCTAACAATGTAACAGTCATCAGAAAAACTAGTTCACACAAATTGGAAAAAAAAGTATTTTTATCTTATTCCTAAATAACCACATTGCTGATCCAAATGATGTTTACATGGCTTTTGTTTTCTATCACAATATCCAAAAATCCAGCTTTGCAACAACAGAATGTTGCTGAGGGAAGGTAGCCTCTGCCCACTAACCCTGAGGACTACCTTGAGCTAGTGATGCACACAGTGTCCCACAGATGTTGATGATCACTGTTTTCCTCAGAGTTTAAAACATTCCATTGTATCCCTGTGAGTTTCTTGTGGTACCCTAGGGTGCCTTTGTGCACAGTTTGGGAATCGAAGCCCTAAGCATTTCTACAAGCACCTTACTGAGAACTTTGGAATCCAAATAATGTGATTGAAAAAAAAAACACTTTCAAGATCAAATTAGACCTTCTAAACAGTTCTCCATTTTGTATGGCAAAGATTCAAGTTACTTACGTTGGAAGGATGCTGTATAGTGCATATAAATTTAGATTATACTCTCCGATAGAAGCAAATTAGCCAATGCATTAAGGTTAAATCATGACCAGTGTGTTCCTGCAGCTTTTGCTTCTCCTGTCCATGTTGAAGTGGTGAGGCTTTAATTTTTATATGCTGTTCCTCTTCTGTTATTTCTTTATGGTCCATTCTTTGCAGTACCAGTGAGAAGGAATTTAATGTCTTTGTGTCAGGAAAGGCCTATTTGTTCTGACAAACTGATCAACCTCCAGGGTGTTCCTCCACCATGAAACTGATTTTATATCTCATCCACTGGCTAATAAGATGTGAAGCGTTTTTCCTGTCACGCCAAGAGATCAGACTTGCTTCCTTGGAAAGCGGGGAAGCAATGACTGGGCCTCACAGAGCCCAGCCCCTCCATGGAGCATACTGGGAGCGAGGGATGGGGCTGAGGCAAACCTGAAAATTAACAGAGACATTTTTAAAAGAAAGAGAAAACCTAGGGGGAAATGCGTGGGCCCAACCTACTGTTTGCTATATTCACTTCCTGTTCAGAGAAAATAAACTGTCAGACTGGAACTTGATGGTCCTGGTGGCTTGTGTCAGGACGTCCTGACACATACCTCCTCTCAGTAACCTGAACCTTCAAATAGAGCCGGCCTGCTACAACACTTGAGTTTAGTCTCTCCGCTGTGAGAAGTAAGAACATAATACAAGTTAGGTATCCCTTACCCCAAACCCCAAATCCTCCAAAATCTGAAAGTTTTGAACATTTGCCATGACGCCATGAGTAGAAAATTCCACACCTGACCTCGTGTGGTAAGTCACAACCCAAACGCAAGTACACTGAAAATATTAAATAAAAGACCTTCAGACTGTATGTGTAAGGTCATGCTTTTGACTTGGATCCTGTTGCCAAGAGATCCCATATATGTGCAGGCAAATATTCCAAAATCTGAAAAACCCCAAATTCAAAACATATCTGGCCCCAAGTACTTCAGATAAAAGAGACTCAACCTGTAATCAGAAAGTGGTGGCTCTGTGATCAGTGTGGCATGTCCCTGAGGAAAAAATGTCATTGCATTATAATGTGCTTTCTTTTTGTGTTATGTTATTAATTTTCAAATGAGTTTGTTGTTGTTGTTAGTATTGGGGTTTGAAATCAGGGCTTTGTAGGCAGGTGCTCTACTGCTTGAACCATACCTCTATCCCTTTTTGCTCAGATTATTTTGGACATAGGGTCTTGCTTTGTGCCCAAGCTGGTCTGGACCACAGTCCTATTTGACACTCCCCCCATCACTGAGAAAACAGGTATGTGCCACCATACCCAGCTTTTCTCCATTCCCACGGGGTCTTGCAAACTTTATTGCCAAGACTGGTCTGGAATTGCGATCCTCCTAATCTCAGCCTCCTGTGTAGCTTGGGATGACAGGTGTGTGACACTGAGCCCAGCTATTGGCTGAGATGGGGTCTAGCTAACTTTTTTGCCTGGGCTGGCCTTGAACCACAGTCCTCCCGATCTCAGCCTCCCGAGTAGCTAAGTTTGCAAGTATGAGCCACTGGCACCCAGCTGCAGATGAATTTTTAACATGAAGTTCAACTCTGAGTCTAGGAGAATGTCTTTTGAAATGAAGTTGGTGTCATTTATATCCTGTTTGTTTTGTTTTAGTGTTTCAGTTCAAAGCAGTCTCGTTTTCAGCAAAACCAAGCTGAATGCCTGGCCAGCGCTGTAGAATATGAGCCTGAGCTCTAAACCTCTGGAAATCTTCCAAGTGTTCCAGACATTGGGTGACTTTTCCATGGCATGTCAGCTGTCAGGGCAGGTGACAGTTCCAGTCCAGTGTGTCACACTAAAGATCTGTACCCTCTGCTGTGCCCACAACTTTGGAGCATGGCTGGTGGTGAGGAAAGTGTGACATACCTCCTACAGGGGCCAGTTACTCCAGACAGTAGTAGGACAGACACACAGCCTTTCCAGCTTCCTTCTTTGTGAGATGAAAGGTGAGGGCAGCAGATTCCTTCCTTGTGTTCCGTCCATGATCATGCCAAAAGGAGTGCTAGCACCCAGTGGAAAGATGGCTGCAAGGACTGTGCACTTGGCTCAGTGGTAGAGCATTTGCCTTGCAAGCACAAATGGGATTGATCCCCAGCACCACAAAAAAGGAAGAAAGGAAGAGAGGCAGGAAGGGGAGAGCGAGGGAGGAAGGAAAGGGAAAAAAGGACTTGCTAGCTTGCTAGGCAGGTGCTCTACCTCTTGAGCCACTCTGCCAACCCCTAATTCTGATTTTGTTCTGTGGTCTCTCTCCTTGGCTGGCAGACAGCTGCCTTCTCACCGTATCCTCACTCAGTCATCTCTCAGTCCATGTGTTGCCTGTGTTCTTATCTCCTTTACTTATAAGGACGCCAGTATATTATATTAGGGCCCATCCTAATGACTTCATTTCTACTTTAATTGTCACTTTAAAGGCCTATCTCCAAATGCAGCTCCATTCTGAGGTGTTGGGGTGGGGGGACACAATTCAGCCTCTAACAGCCCATTTCTTCTTTAATAAGATGCTTTCAATACAGAAATAAGTCCATTAACACAGACATGGACACCTATGTGTGTAAATAAGCATTGAATATGGGATTCTGGAATGAAGCTCTTTTCTCCTATTTTACCACTACTCTTACTTCGCTGAAGACACTGACTTGCATTACATTCTCTTCCACTGGATTGGGAACATTTGAAAGAAAGGAAATGTGATTTGTCATTCATTTGTAACCCTGCCACCATGCTTGGAACACTCTCTAATAAAAGAGTGAACAATCCCATCAAAATACAACTTGATTTCTCTTTTCAAAAAGTAATACGGCATAGGAACCATCACACTAGCCAGAGGAATAAGTATAATGAGTTTAGAAAAGGGAAAATGTTACAAGGCCAAATGCAACTGAATGTTCCTGATACACAGTGTTCTTTTGCAGTTTGTCTTTTGTCGGGACTGTAAAGAAGCGTACCACGAAGGGGAATGCAGCATGCTCTACGAAGCCTCTGGAGCAGCCTCTCAGGTACAGAGCCCTCTTCATCCCTCACCCCTCATCCCTCATCCCTCAAAGCAGGGGTTCAGACTCTGGTGGGCAGGAGCTACTTCCTGGAGGTCACCAGGGGTTCCACCCTAAAAACCCAAGCAGCAGACTGGGAATGGGGCGTGCTCTGGCTTCCTTGTCAGGGTACACAGTGCAGACTTCCCAATGGCCATGTGCAGTGTGTCATGACTTCTGCTGTAGTCCTCCCCACATCCCCAGAAATATGGGATAGGGATAAGGGACATTAGCATAATCAGTGCAGTAGTCAGAGGGGAAATGAGATAATTTAACAATCTTTAAATCAGTTCTAACCCTACTTTTACTTTAGATGCATTTCTTTAGAATCTTTGGTGAAAGTCCATATGCATGACAAGTAGAGACGTTCCTACCTTATGAAGGGGGAATATCCCAATAAACCCGTCATAAATTGAAAATATTGTTAAGTCAAAAAATGCATTGAGTATACTCAGCCTTCCGAACATCATAGGTTAGTGACATAGTATTCTGTAGTGACTTGGTTGTCACTCTACTCGTCATGGGGTTGACTGGGAGCTGAGGCTTGCTGCCCAACATCTGCAGAGACAATGGTACCATGTACAGCTAATGAGGGAAAGATCAAAATTCAGAATTCCAAGTACAGTGGCTACCGAATGTGGATTGCATTTTCACCTCGTAAAGTTGAAAAATCAGAAGCTGAACCATCAGCAGTCAGAGACCATATGCACAGAAGTATTATAACATGCAAAGAGCTCGTTTTTAGCAATCTCTCAGACCATGCTAAATTGCATCTCAGTCCTAATTAAGTAAAGCTGTGTGTTTCCTGAGACTTTCTCACTAACGTGCTATTCCAAGCTTAAGGAAATGCAAATGGTTTTTCTTTTATTTATTGATTACGATCAACCAAACCATAGGCAGAAGGAGTAAAAACTTCAGCACAGCTGATGAATTGCTCATTATTTTCCTCTTTATATAGATGTTAACAAGGGTTTAAGCACCAAATCCATGCAGGTAAATCCTCCAGTCATTTTATTGATAGAAACCTAGTACACAGACATAGAAATTCCAGAACATTTTCATTTTATAGTAGAGAATGAGAATATCCCTATAAGATATTCTGCAGCTATATATTAATATGCCAATATTAGCATAAATATAATCACTGAATTCAGTCCTTTCATCAGCTCCTCAATTTTTTGTCACAATCATATCAGGAGATTTAGGACTGAGTTGCCATTTCCCTTGCAGAGGGGGCAAATGTGCCTTCTGTTCATTTCACTCAGGGACACTCAAGTGCAAGCTCAGTGACACTGAAGCAGGAATAGTGATGACCCTGGGACCCCTGCCTGGGAATCACTGTACCTGGGGAATAAGCATGAAGGCTGGGGCTCTGGGAAACAGGGGTAGCTCAGCAGTTTACACCCATATGCTCTTAGGACCACAGACATAGACCAAGGCTTTCAAGAAGTGATACTTTAACATTGATTTATTTGAAAACAAATCTTCATCCAAGAGGAACCAGCCAACCTTGCTGTTAAAGATATTTTAAGTCATTGAGACCCTAATATTTGACTTAGAAACATGGGGAAAAGAAAGTTAAAGGTGATCTTAATTCTAGATGGCCAGTATCAGGGGTACTGTGTCTACCGAATGTCAATCAGCATAGGTGAAACTGAGCATTCGTATGGGTCCTGCAGCCTGCTAGACTCCTGGCAAAATGAAGTTAGACATGTTTCCCTTCAGAGGCTGCAAGGGAAGTCATGAGAGACTTGTGAGAAAATGAACAATTACAGCAATATGCTAAAGCAAGGCTTAGCAAATGTGTAACTCTGTGTAACACTCCCCTGGAAGTCATGGAATATGGCTCTAGGTTTATCAAGTGGAAGTGGGATAGCAGCAATAAAGAGCATTCCAGAAAAAGGTGGGGGCAAGAAGCTCTTCAACTGGACTCTTCTGTCCAGCTCTGCATCCCCAGACCCAAAGCAGAATCCAGTGCAGGGAATCAGACAAACGTTTGTTGAATCGTGGTCACATCTATAATGAAAAAGACATTATTTCATTCACCAAATGTGTATTAGACCCCTATGTTAAGCATTGTTACTCACCTTGGGGATAAGAACAGAATAAAGTTCATGTTCTCACAGCACTTCCAAAACTTCATCCGCTACCACAAAGTTGCACAGTCCATTAATCTAATGGGAATTCCAAGGAGCTATCAGCAATCCAGGTCAAGGTCATCCCACAAAGAATACAGAATGAAGGGCCCTGTGGCTAGACTGCCCCTTGATAAGGCTCCTCCTGCTTCCAGCTCCTGATTACAGGGCCAGACTTCTATTCCTCTTATTTGGAAACGAAGCAAACTCGCCAACCACCCTAAAAAATAAATATCTTCTGGTCAACTGTTGCCAGAGAACAGAACTTGTATTCTTTGCTACCTGTTTTCCTAAGTCTCTGTTTCAATCAGAATCCCACAGGAAAGTAAATTCAGCTCAGATGGGCACGTGAAGAGCTAGCTGTTCATAGGAGGTATAAGCTGCAGTGGTCACAAGAACCAAAACCAAAGTGGAAGACGTCAGAGTCCAGCCTCAGTGGAAGCCATGAGCCTCCTAGGCCAGCAGGGCAGGAGAAGGAAATGGTGCTCCATGAACCCCAAGACCTGGAGCCTTGGAGGGAGTGCCTTGGGACAGGAGGAGTGATCGTGGGGGAGAGGGAGAGAAATGGGCCCAAACAGGAAAGGTGTGAGAATGACTTCTTGACTTCTCTCTCTCTCTCTCAGTTTCTGAGTTCTTGCTAGTAACTCTCACTGGCCACACCCAAATAAAAGCCAGATGCAGGGATCCTAGGGACATAGCCCTGGGATGTCAGCCCTATGGGTCAGGGTAAAAGAGGGAAAAAGAATAATCTACATATTTCTTTATGGGCCAATTCACCAGGGTTCCAAACTTTCCTTCTTTTGACCACAGACATGGAAAGGGATGGACCAAATAAGCTATTTCATCAAACTGCAAGACCCAATTGCATTTGGTAACATAATGAAGGGTTATTGTTTTAATAAAGCCACCTTCTTTTCTCTTCCCTGCATTTCTCTCAAACAGCAGTGCTTCTGAGTGGCAGGAGGGATTACCTCTGCAATTTCACTCACCTCCAATCTTGGAAAGGTCAACACTCTCCACATCTATCAGCCAAGATCTCATTGCAGCCCCCTTGGAACAGAAGGTTTCAGATATGTCCCCTGTCTGAATTTTGCTAACACTAACAAAATACCCCCACTAGCCTGTTTCACATTTTCCTTTCAATTCAATTCATTGAAGGTTTTTTCCTGTTAGCCACTGGTGACTCCTCTCCGTGTTCTTCCCCTCAGAGCTGATTGGTTTCTGTTCTTTGATATTACATTCTCCAGCCAGGCGAGCCCATTTCTCCTGGGGCCCAAACAGCTTTTCCCATCAGTTAGGCTGCTTGACCCAAAACTTAATGCATTTTTTGATTAATGAAATTTTTTTTTAAAAAAGAAGCAAACTCAAAAATTGGTTTTAAATTGGTTTGAAAATATTGAACAAGCTTTAAGTCACAAGTGCTGAGAGTTTGGGAAATCAGTGACAGAAATCAATCATTCCCAAGCAAATGAGAATCTGGGCCCATTTGCTTTCTCTTATTCTCCCCTGCTACCCGTTTTCTTCCCCATGTTCCTGTTCTCCCCACATATGCCCCCTGGAGCCTTCCTAATAACTAAACACTTGCTCTTGCAAACCACATACATTGATTCATTCTCCCAGGGGCTCCAAGGATTTGGTACTACTTCTCCTATTTAATATGAGGGCAAACTGAAACTTTCCGATTTTTAGTGGCACTGTCAAAAGCCATAAAGGGAATCAATTGCAATGACTACCTGATCTGAGCTATTAGGGTACAACGCCCACACTCTCTGGTTAATAAGTCTACAGTGTGTAAGAGGAAAGTGTCCATCCCTGCCTGCTGTGAGCCTATTCAACCTCCTAGATCCAGGTCATATGTCCTCTTCTCCACAAAGCTGTCTGCCCAGTCCACTGCCTCCTCTAAGCCCTGTGACAACTGCACATGTCTCTGTTACACATCCAACACTGAAATGCTCTTTCTCTGTCTCTTCACTAGCAGGCTGAGCTTTGGTAATGCAGGGCTGGTACCTACAGCATCTTTATATCTCCCCAGTGTCTGGCACATTACAGGTACTCATGAATGTTTGTTGAATGAATGACAGCTCCCTTCATCCCCATACCTCCTCCCTCCCCAGGAGGCTAGGAAAGCACTCTAAAGTAACAGTCACTTCCAGCATGGTTTTTGTCTCAATAATCTTTTAAATCATAAGAGAAAATAAGATTCCCATAGTAAAGCACAATTCTCGCCATCAGTCTTCTGAATTAGAGGAACAAAGCTACCATTTTTCCTGGGATAATAATAATAATATGCACTTGTAATGTACTTGTTTACAAAGCACTTTCAAATACATCATCTTATTTGAAGCCTCATCATGACTTTTTGCAATGGACTTTAATGATAGGTAAGATAGAGGGAAGAGAGAGGTCCACCCAGGGGCATAGAATTGATAACCACCAGGTAAGTCCTGGTGGCTTTGAGAGCCACACCATCCAGGACCAATGGCCAGATTCATCCCAATGAAGGAGGCACATGGCATTTCAGTTGATCTTCCTGGTCACTCTGCGTTTTGGTAGTTGCAATACAGTTGAAACATCCAGTCCTATAGGTCTCTAGAGCTGGGATGGTCTTCCAGAGTTCTTCCACATTAAGACTGGGAGTCAGGCTTTTACATCCCCTGCAGGTTTGGGGATGCAAGCTGCCCTCGCTCGATCCCAGGGTGTAACACAACCTTCGGTGAGGCACCTTTCTTCAGCTGAGGGCAGTTCCTGGATAAAGACTTAGCAAAGAGGTCTTTGCTGCCAATGCACTAGCAGCTGAGGAGACAAGGGCCTCCATCATGGGGGAGGGATCTG